TCATAACAAAGACTGTTACACACTTCCAGGAGTTTTTCTTTCCCAAAGACACAGTAATTTGAACCCCATGACCATTTTCAGATCAGCGTCTTAGAACAGGATGGGCTCAGGGATACAAATTATATGTTAATTTAAAAAGTAAAGCTAATGATGGCCTTGGGCCCTCGCATATTAGCTATGATCTCTTGCGTTCTTTTAGGCTATGCCCTGTAAGTGATGGCTGTTATTTTAATGGCTTGTTAGATATATTGCAGGTACTTAGAAAAATAAATAGCTGCACTAGCTGCAGAGCCTTATTCACAAGATGTTCTAAAATTAGATGTTTTTATCTCTTGTGGCTTATTGTACAGCAAGGGGCAAAAATATGGAACAAGGAGCTCCTGTTGCCAGCAGCGGGTCAGGTATCCACCTGTATCCTGGATGCTGCAGTACCATGATGCAGTCCTCCTGCTTCTTTGTGGATTGTTCCTTCTCTTTACCTTGATAATTACTGTATTATATTGCAGGCATTTCAGTGGAAGAGCACTTCAGACCCAGCTATACCTGAAGTGTCTGGATGCACATGTGCCTTGCCTTTCCTATGAAGGGACTGGCTGATAATGCAGATGTTTTTAACTTTCATGCTATTTTTTCCTAGTTCTGTCTCTTCCATTGTGAACCGTATGACAAAGAAATTACTAGTGATTCATGAAAAACAAACTCAGGAGCCAGAATAGCTCATATAATGTGAGTCTTCTGGATGGGTTTCATCAGGAGCAGTGTCATAAACTGTTTTTTTTTAATGCTGTTTTTACATTCTCTATAATGTTCTTTGAATTCTATTTAAAACAAAAAGCAACAAAAAAGCAGCCAAATGATAGGCTTAACCCTTGCTACAGAAGAGAGCAGATAGTTATTCTTTGGCCTTGACTCAGAATCGCGCTTAAGTACATGTCCTAAATAGCAATATGTTACTGAATGGAAAACTCTGAAGCCTTGACCTCTGTTCTTCTCCCTCTGTTTTGCTAAATGCTAGAATAATTCTCAAACCAATTCTTCTTTATGAAAAGTCAGAAGTTGTTTTTTTCCTGCACATCCAGATTTTGTGTTTGCCTCTTTTCGACTCTGGTCTTGATTTCTTGTAGTCAGCTGAGCCACAGGGGCTCGGGTGAAGAGAGGACTTCCCATAGCACACGGGAGAGGAGTCTTCCCTCCAGGACAGCGTCAGCTTTTATGGGGAAAATGTGGGTGTGAGGCATGTTTGAGGTGCATCTGCTCCTGCAGCCTGGGTGCTGGAGTTTCCCAGCACATGAAGCTACATGACAGACATCTGGGGTGGAAGGGGGAGGCCCTGGGGCCTCAGGACAAGGGTGGCAGTGAGTGGAGAAGCGAGTGAATGGTTGCAGATAGCCAGAGATTTCTCCATGCCATAGGAGACATAACAGGTACTTGATGCAGCCCTTTCTCACCGCCGTCATGACCCTTGCAGTGTCCACAGTCCCTCCGGTATCAGTCAGCACCATCCAGTGGGTAGCAGCTAACTTAGGTTTCGTAGCCTCAGGCTGATTATCTTCATTTACCGTATTTTTATTTACATAATAGTCTGCATTCCCATATGATCTCACTCTGATTTTTGTTTGCAGACCTTTGTGACTCAGAGTAACAAGTTAACAGAAGAGCAAAAGCACAGAAGCATGAAACCCCTCCAGGACAATGAAGATGGGACAGAGCTCCAGCCTATGGTGAGAGGGAGGGTGGGCAGCTAATTGATCTGCCAGCTAATGTGTTGTTTGCTCCGCATTGGGAGAAGGACATGGATATTGTGTATCCTCCGATGTCCAGCAATATCCAGCGTGCCTCAACGCAGATTATTGTTTTTCTTTCCATTGCTTCCCCTCCTGAGGAAATAAATCCTCTGCTGGTGCAAAATGGGCAGGTCAGACCCTTGTGCTCCCCTTCCCTCTCGTTGCCCTGTGTCCAGCAGAGCAAGACCAAGACCGCGCAATGGCAGAGGGGTGGGCGGGCAGCTCTAGCCCCTCACTGGCCTAGGGGCTCCTTGGCTTCTTTGCTGGGGAAGCTGGAGCACTCGTTGCCTTCTTGCTTTCCTGCAGGAACTGCTAAGGCTGCACACTGTTCGACTGCTTTGTTGGGTTTTTCTTGTTTTTTTTTTTTCCCTCCATAGACCTGAATGGGAAATGCACCAGGAAGCGTGTGAGCAGAACAGCAACAGCAAAGGCAGTTGCCGGAGAGAAAGTAACTATTACCAATACCCGGGGACAAAATGACTATTTGTTATGTAAAGTTCTATTTTACCTTCTGCACTGATAAACTGACACACAATCTGTTTTTAAAAATAATGTATTTTGTATATCAGCATATCCAATTTTTATTAATATTCCTATTATGATAGTCAACAAGAGCTGTTAATAAACAGATCTCCTCTAAGTTTCTGTGCTGTCAGAGTAAAAATACTAAGTTGACATGGGAATATCTGGACAGAAATGAAATAAAAGATATGAGATAGTGAATACAGTGAAAATAGTGAAATAGTGAAAATAATGCTTTATAAAGAAACATTCCAACATAGATGTGAAATACACTGTGTCATGGAGGAATGTAGAGAAATTACTTGTAGCAAGAACAAGGACATTTTTAAAAAATCAGTCTTTCAGCATTTTATGAGCAACTTTTGAGATTTATTTAAACTTTGTGCTTGAACACTGGTTATGCACTTTCAGAGTCCAACTTTTTCTGGCATGGGATGAGTTTGGACTTACCAGGGAACATGATCTTCTCCTTTTTTTCTTCTAAAGTTCTTTTAAAACTTGAGGTTTGAGATAGCAGGATGACTCCAACCAGGAGTTGCAGTAAAGTATGTATCAGGGTAGGAAGTGGCTCATTGCTGCAGGTAAGTGGCTCATCTTTGCTGCCATACTGAGTGGGAACCATGGAGGAGAAACTTGCAAGCTGTGACTAATCACAGGTAGAGCAAAGGTTGACAGAAACCCCGGTGGAAACACTGTAGCTGGTTCAGCTACCAACCGTGCTGATCAGTGCTGTGACTAGTTATCTGCCGGGGAAAGCTTAGAGGAATTTGTTCCTTATTTGTTTAGCCAACTTCTGTCTCCTTCAGTAAGAGCCACTTCAAGAACCTGAGGCATGTGGAGTGATGAAGAGGGACGAGAAAGGGATTAATTCCTTTCTGTCTGGCAGGTGAAGCTGATCGTCTCTTGGCTGTGACTCGATGGGTTTTATTTAAAACTGGGCCCTAGGGTACTTTTGTCAAGAAAGCCTGCCAGGTCTGGTACTTTTTGCTCCTAGACAGGTCGCAGTAAGATTAGTTCTCAAGTAACAGTATTTTTACAACCTAATAATGATGTTTGCCAATTTACAAAGTATATTTGTTTTGCCTGGAAGTTATTAAAAAAAAATTGCATATTTTTTTTTCCCCTCCATTCCTAACTGATATTCCCACTGCCTGAGGTTTTGACCCTTCACTTGGTAACTGCTTCACCTAAATGGTGAAAGGAAGAGAAGGAAGGAGATTTTCATTTATCTTCTCATTTCCAGACAGTCCATATGTTGTTCACAGTTATGATGTGATGCCGTTACCTTCACTGCAGTTGCTGAATGGAGAAAGACTCTTTAATATTAATTTTGGTGTGCTTTTTAAATAAGAAAGGTAGGGGAAGTCACTAGTGTGTTACTAAAACAGTGCTGTCCTGACTGTATACAGTTCAATGGAATTAAACTGACAATATGATGTTTTGAAAGTCAGGTGTAATTTGACAGAATAATTCAGAATATATACTTTTTAATTAAATGTTCTGTACAAAGCATAGTTTTATCGCTTCCAGCTGCAGCCTGGTACTACCCTCATCTTGTTCCATGTTTCACTAGTTGTTAGCTCAACAGCCTCCAGCTGCAGCGTTCCTGCGTGGGCGGCAGGAACCCTCTGCAGAGGGATAAAGCTCTCGGCAGCGGCTGTTGTGTGTTCCCCAGCAGGCTGCTGTGGTCAGTCCCTGGAGAGAGGCTTGGAGGTAGGTGCATGGATGGGCACAAACCCACGTGGATACCCACGTGGTGCTGCCTCGTGCAGCGCTGCCTGTCCGTGCGCCCTGCGACGCTTGCGGCCAGCGACCCAACGCAGCAGCCGCCTTTCCCGCAGCTGCGGAGCAGGGGCTTCCTTGGGATGCAAGGTACTTTTAGAAAGAAGTGTTTTAAAAACAGGAGGTAAAGACTGCTCTCAGAAATGGTGAAGTATCGCAGCTTATTTTCTTGAAGTTTGTATCTGGCATTGCTTCGTGTCTGCTTCAAGCTCTCAAATTATAGTCATGATACTTGTGAATGAAGGAAATGGGCCCCGCTTGATGAGCCGTTTCTGTTTGTTTTTTTCCGGCCGAGACAAGGACTTGGGTAAATCAGCAGGGCCTGGTTGTCAGCGCTGTTGTCGTGAGGAAGAAGGCATTTTCTATTAAGGAATAAAGCCCTGCTATTAGTAACTAAAATCCTTGGGTTGCAGCCCAGCAGGCACAAAGATCTGGATACCTCATTACATATACTAAAGCACGTGTATATCGAGCTCTTGAAGTGAGGTTATGAAGGTTACAGGATGAAATAGAGACCTTGTTAGACATCTGCAGTGTTTTCCTTAGGAAAGGGCCAGCCTTAGTGACAAGGTGAGGATTCCTGGTCACAGCCTCACAGTCGCATAGGGGGATAGTGAACCCTGCTGTAAGGGAGCACATTCCTTTCTTGTTAAGTCATTGTCACTCACTCGCAGGAGACTTTTACAAGGTTGTTAGATTAAATCCCTTTGAAAAGAAAGAATCCTAGCTGCAACAGAGAGCAGTTCTGCTACCCTTTCTACCCTGTTCTATGTTACCCTTACCACAGGCAAAAGTGATGGTGATTTGAGGAAAATTTCCTATGGCATCTCATCTTTAAGTACGGTAGCTTAACAAACGAGACATGACCTTCCTCATACCTTCAAGAAAAAATATTTATTTATAAAAATACACTGGGATCAGTTTGAGAAGTGTGGCAATAAATACAGTTCAAGGAAGAAAAAGCATTTCTACATGGATATATTATGGCACAATAAAAGGTAAATGCACCATCAAACATGGGACTTTTGTTGGCTCAAGACTTTGTACAAGCTCCCTTTTTAGTAAGACAACTATTTCTAGGAGTTTGGTCAGTGTAGATAATGGAATGAATACACAATCACAAATGCACACTTAAAATGTCTAATGCAAGACTTACCATTAGCAAACAATACCATAGAAACATAGTAATGATATTTAAATCACTAAAGTGGCGTCTTAGATTTAATAAGCAAAGACCACATTTAAAACTTAAAAGCATGAAATTCTTTTATCTCATGTGGAACACAGAAAAGCTGTAAATATGTAAAAATGAAGGCATAATGTGGTATGTGAATGCCTATTTAAGTAGAGATTGTGAAAAATGCATAGCTCCTTATTAGAAGACCTGGCTGTACAAGAGCACTCCCCCTTTCACAGTATTCCTTTTTACTTCATATGCAGTTATTGTTTATGCTGTAGACTACAACTGTTACAGCACTAAAGGCAACTAGACAGGGAAAGGGCAGCAAAAGGAATAAGGAATGTATGTAAGGCAATATTTCTTTAGGTACATTAAGCATAGTGTGTAGGAAAAGACAGGTAACGATTCCACAAGGCTAGTTTCGTTCTTACTGAATAAAATAATGGACTAATACTGAATTTCTGATGCAAATCTAATAATCAATGCCCTGGTCACTGTACTGACCATGGTAATCTCTTTGATAGTCATCTTGGTACTCTCCGTGATAGTCGTCTGGGTACTCTGCCTGGTAGTCGCTGTCGCTGATTTCCGAGCCGTTCGTTCCCGTTCCTTGGCTGCCGTTATGGATGAGGGGCTCTGTGGGTGCCGCACAGTACTTGGGGTCGTACACTTGCCGGCCAAGCCCGTACACACTCATTCCCTTCTGGGAAGCTACTTTGTTGGTACCCATTTGTAATGAAATAGTTGAGTTATCCACAGGCTGCAGTATGTGCTTCTGATCATAGATGTCTCTCCTGGTGCCCGGTGCCAGCATCCCAGCCTAACAAAACAGGATGTCAGAGGTTCAGTAAGAAGCCAAGAACTGCCATTACAGAATTTATGTTTACGACTTGCTTGTACAGCTTACTGAAGTGTTAGAAAGGAGGAATTAAAGTACTATAAATCACAAAGCTATACTAGTAAGTGAGTCTTAGAAGGTAAGTCTCTGCTGAAACATCCAGCATGTTCTGCCTCTTGATAAAGAACAGGCTGTGTGTTCAAAAGGAGGCAGTGCATAGGAAGTAACTGACTGCCCCAGCAGGCCTGATAGGAACAGCGGCTGCTGTTTCCCTCACCTGGCTGGCTCCCTTGTTCGTGCCCATCTGTAGGCTAATTGTCGTCTGGTCAAAGGGTTTGTCAGTTTGCATTTTCGGATCGTAGAGATGTCTCCTGGTTCCATAGGCAGTCATGCCTGCCTGACTGGCACACTTGTTTGTGCCCATCTTCGTTGGGAGAAGGAAGAGGTGAACAGAAAAAGTGGTTATTTTATTTGTACAACAAGCACAGTCCAAGGAAACAAATATAGCTGATAAGTGTGGCAGCTGCCAGAGAGTAATTGCACTGCGCGCCTCCCTCGTGCAGCTTGGCTGCTGCGTAAGAAACTATCACTTCTCTGTGCCGTGTTTCAGGGGACAAACAGCTGTCATCCTGAGGCACTCGGTGCCTGGCCTTGCGCCAGCTGCATGAGCAGCCTCTATGTGAGAAATGGCTGGGCACAGCAATACATAATAATCACTCTCCCCCTAGATGGTAGTGATTCAGTCACACTGCCCCAACTTGTGTGGAATCTTGAAATTTCAAATGCTTGTGCTAGACAAGGTTTTTGTTTTTGATTACTGAGGAAAACGGAAAGGGGGAGGTGGGAACCAAAAAAACACCAGCACAGAAGAAGCTCTAGCTATCCAAAGACTCCGACTCATCTCAAAGTTTCTCTAAAAGATGAAGATGATCCTTGCTGCCACTATTAGCTTACTACTAATTTTTGCTTTCCTCCTTATTGCTCTTACACCAAGATTTAAAGAATAGCAAATAAAATCCCATCAACTTCACACAGTCGCTTAAACTTGTAAAGACAATGAGACAATCAACTGCTTACAAGAATTAAAACCCTATAACTCTTTCAAGATAAGAACGGCTCTAAAGAATATATTCTAATTCTGCAGAGGTTTTTGCATGAACAGCATTTCACTTAATCAGAACAGGACGGCTGTTTGCAAATGCAACTGATTTCATACCTACCTGCAGGCCAATTACACTTTGACCAGCTTTTAGTTTTCCTGCATCAAAACTTCGTGCTTGTTTCTCTGCATATTTGACACCAACATCAATGGTAGTATGAAAGCCTTTGGTTTTTGCCTATTTAGAGAGAGAGAGAGAGAGAGAGGGGAAAATAGAAAATTCACTGCTCAAGTAAATTTTCTGCTTCTGAAACACATCTGGAGTCCTGGGCTGACAGAGAAGCAGCAGTCTCAGTGTGTGGTCTTGGGCTCTCCAGATGAAGCTGCTACAGGCAGGTTTATTTCATGTCCCTGCCACAACACAGTTTCTGATCAGCTCTGCCATGTGAAGGGGCCATTCTGAAGCTACCCCAGTATCTCTGCCAGAGCCCAAAGGATGTTGTGCAGGGGTTAAGGGGCACAGCAGGTCTGCATGTGCCTGCACAGACCCAGAGCGGGGCCACATGCAGCCAGCCGAGTACCTGAGCTCCAAGGCTGCTCTCGAGGTGTGAGGTGGGCAACAGGCACGTTACCTGAAGGGCAACTGCTGCGGTGTCTCAGACTCACAATAATATCTATCCCTTCCAGACAGGCTATAGGTTGTTTCCTGTATTTACAGGAGTGGAAAGGGAGTATCTTGAGTGGTATGTGCATTTCTGTCAGCGCCGGGGTATGAATACTCACCAGACCTGCTAGCGCTACTAAGGTAGTCTGTACTTGAGTCATATTTCCATTTTCAAAAAGATCATTTGCTTCAAAAATATCATGTGGCTTCATGCCGTAGACTTGGATGGCCTTGATAAAATTCCCAATATTCTCCAGCTAAACAGAAAAAAGAGCAAGTTTTCTACTTGACATTTCAGTTCAGAAACAAGTAACTAATTGTAATGTTTTCTGGGTATTCGTTTTTTTTCACATGAGTTCTTTGTGCAGTGGAGATTGGATAGAACAACAGTTGGAGTGATTAAGAGGGGCCATTAGGATACTTATTTTCATGAATTTTACTACAGAAATCAATCTAAGGGTTTATCTACTAGAACATCTCTCTCTGAGGATGAGTACAGGATGCATTGCTAGAGAAGGATTTAATGAGAGCTCTTAACTGTGTCCTCTCCAAGAGAAATCCTAATTTAAATTTGAGAACTTTAGGTTAAATTTGCATAGGTAATTTTGTGTTTTTTTTTTAAAAAAATTAAAAAGCCATAATTTTGTAGATAATAAGAATATTTAACTTAGTTTGAAGGTATCATCTTGCCGGCCTATTGGGACAACCTGAGCCCACCCTTTGGGTTTCATTAGCAGGTTTTAGCCCTAACTGATGTCAGAACAAGAAAGTTATATAGAGTAAAACAAATAACGACTGAATCTCTTCTGAAGTCATAAAAGATACTAAAACTAAGCTTAAAAAATAAATCCTCCATTCTGTTTAGAAATGTTGAGTCCAATAAAAACAAGAGACTGAACACACCAGTGCTGAGCTAGACCCACAGCAGCCACGGCAGTTGGCTCCAGTCAACAACCCTTCCTGTGCCTGCGCTCAGGATGTGCTGCCTTCAGCAGCCCCTTGGTGAGGAAGGAAGGAAAAGGAAAGTGTGTTGGACAGGTTGCCCATGAAACTAAATCAGGACATACTGTAATCAAATACGTACACAAGAGTTAATTTGCAGTGTACCATTTTCCGAGTTCTGTTACACAACCATTTCCTGAGACTGTTCAGATCCTTTTCCTTCCTTCCGCCACCAGCTGCTTTTATTTCCAGGAGGACACTTCAAACAGTGGCTTTAGTGTTTGGGTGGGAGGCTCCTGCTGTAACGTCCACAGCAGTGTCGGATCAAAACTCCAGTTAACAGCTTTTGTACTTGAAAAGAGACCTTGCTATATGCTTCTATATTCTTCTTTCATAAGCAACACTATTAAATATGTCCACTCAGGTGCCAGTTACGAGTCATCTCAGCTGTAATTATTTTGTTAAATGCTGTTCATGTGCGAAGTGTTCTTAGCTGTTTGTGTCCACATCTTGCTATCTGTACACAAATCTTGTTGCTGTTAAGATCAAAGAGGCACCCTGTTCACAGTCAAGTTGTTAACACACAACAGGACTCGCAGGGTGGCAGAGGTTAGGGGCGCACGGGTCTGGGGGAAGAGAGGACATTGGTTTTACCTGGTGCCAATTTAGTTTTGATTGATTGATTTTCTTCACTGATCCTGGCTGCAGCTTATTTATAAGCCTGCGGAGGAGGGGAAAAAGAAGGGGGTAAATATTTAAACAGAAATCTCATCCTTATAACATGTGTAGACATTATATAGTATTTTTATCCATGCTTTATCAGTTGGATTAGTTCCATCAAGCTGGTTAATTTTAGATTTATACAAAATGCCTAGCTTAGATGCCTGGAAATTTAACAGATCTACAACGTATTTGTTAAACTTTGTGCCCTTTCATTATTAAAGGACTTCGTAACTAAATTTATAAATATTTGTTGAAATATAAAAAAGATTTGAGTTAAATACCCATTTTTCTCTATGGTTTCAAAGAAGCTGCCTGCCACCAGCTACTTGACCATTATAGCTCATGTGTTTGAGTGGGAGTCCTCAGGAGTCCCCCTCAGAGGCACAAAGCACTAAACCCCAGGTCATTTCTGGAGCCTTACTTACTCGCATAGGATGATGCCATCTTTCAATCCCAGTTGAAAGTTTGCACCAATGCTCAGCCCTGTAACCTCTTCTATCCAGTTACGCAGGTCTTCTTCTATCTGGGGATCATATTTCAGGGCAATCTGTAATACAAGCATAAAAAAATAAATCACTTAACAAGAGAAAATTGCAATTCTTTCCCCTATTACTTTAGGGAAAGGAAAATGTGCAATTGTTGATGAAACTAAAGATATCAGAGGCCAAAAGTTGCTAAGAGGGTGACTTAAAAACTCCCTTTTCAGACACTCAGACTTTAGTAGTCAGTCTATCAGGCTGTGTTCCAGTCACAAGAAATTAAGGCAATGAGAATGCTTAAAACTGCTGGACTGCAGCAGCTCTAGAGCAAACAGGATCCAAACCCTGTTCTCCACCTTTCAGTCCCCTCCTCTGACTTTCACAAGTGACCCTGAAGAGCAGCTCAAATCTCCTTCACCCTAAACCTGTTACTTTTTCAGTACTTCTCCACACTGGCAAACCAGGAGGGGGTTTCACCATGGGCAGCAATTGTTAGCACAGTAACATCCTGTTTTTCTGCAAGTAAAGCAGCTTCTCCATGCACAGGATGGTAGGTCCGAGTAGCCTCCGCGTCCCCAGAGGCCGGCACTAGTGTCCCGTGCGGCCGCGGGGCGACCGAGCTACCGTGGCTAAGTGCCCCGCAGGCAGCGAGTGCCAACGCGTGGTTCTAACCACGGAAAGTGAGCCCGACTAACCCCTTGCTTTCTAATTCCAAACAGGAAATCCACGTGCGGCCGCTAACAGGCCACAACGCTGGTTTCACCGTTTATTCCTACCCTTTGGTCCAGAAAAGACAGATGTCGACAGCCATTTACAAGGCGTGAGATTTTAATTCCAGCCTCTCTGATTAACTTGGATGGAGGCCTTTTGTCTAGCACTAGTACTTTCCAACTCTAAACTGGCAAATTACATTATTCTCAATTTTTCTTTAACTTTTTTCCCCAGAAAGGCTAGAAATTGGTCTGATTTTCCGGTAAAAAACAGTAGTCAATGTGGACTACTAATCTGTATGTTGACGGCTCCTACTCCATAGAAATCACAGTTCCAACATGCACGTGAGTACAGAGAGGGGTTCAGGCCAACCTCTCCACAGTACTTTAGCTATAGTTAGAAATCTAACAAACACGACGCGATCTGAAAATTGAAGCAGGCTCTTACACTCTAACTTAGAGCTAAACTGTCCTTAGCCATCCTGCTGTTGACACATTTCCAGATTAAAAACAAGTTCTCTATAATTTCATTTATTTACAAAATATTTGAGGAAACAATCAACTCAGTGACCATGCCATCAAAAGGCCCACTTTGAAGATCAGGTTTTCTTTTTCCCCCAGTATAAAAAAAAGAAGAACTACCAAAGTCAGTGAGAGAGAACCTGATAGGCTCCCGAAAATATGACTATTTTGATCTTTGTAAGCATGTAAATTAAAAGCCTAGAGTTTCCCGCATTTAATACTTAGGACATTCCACATTTGAGATTAGGATATGGCTGAGTGTTGAATACCTCTCTTCATTGCTTGGGTAACTTAGAAGTGATGGTATGGAATTTTATCAGCTCTGAAAAATATTTACTTTATGTTGGAGAACTTTCACATGTGCTCAAATCTCGAGGATTTTCAAGAGGTTTAAGTGTGCAGGGCTATACAAGGCCTGTGCACACAGGGACACTGGTTTTACTGGCACGTGCTCTCTGCGTGGTCTCGCTCTCTGCAGTTTCATACCCATACACTAAAGTCCTTGTTTGGAGCAGGGGAACAACCAGGTTGCAAAAAGGGCAGAGCAGCAAGAGCTTCTCAGAGCGCTGCGCTGGAGCCTTTGTAGGCTGCTGAAAACCAGGAGGAGTTAAAGACATTGAGACCTGGCAGGCCCTTTCCAAACACGTGGCGCAAAGGGGTTAAGGAGAGGGAGAAGGTGGGCGAGCCGGGAAGGAAGGTCCTGCGCTTCCCTGGATTCTCCGTGTGCTGGTAGTCGTGGTGACGCAGCTGGAGTTATGTAACCCGAGTCAGTGGATACATCATACTTTCCACATGTCTATCAGATTTGTTCCAGTTTTCCTTTGATTGCTATCTGTGAGCACAAGCTGGAAACTCTAGTATAAATGAAATTTTTTTTTCCGTTATTACTAATCTGCGTGCCAACATCTGATCCTTTTTAAGTACTGAGCTCTCATGGAAGATACTTAAATCTTAGCAAGTATATCCACAGCAAAAGAAAACATGTTCCAGTAAAGGCAAGGGCAGCAGCTAAGCACCTTAAAAATATTCATCATTGGTGTCACTTAAAAAAGTTGCTGTTTCAGAACAGTGTGGAAGGCATCCTATTGTAGCTTTGGATGTAAAAGTGGCATAAAATTTTTCAGAACAGATAGCAAGAAGCCAAGGGTTTAAATTCTTTTGCTCTGGTTTATCTTGAAAGAAACAAAAAGCTACAAAATCTCATTCTTGTTGACAATTTGAGACGCAAAGAAATTTCTAACCATTACACTAGTAAGGAAACCAAAGTTTATACCAGCCGTCACAATACAGGCAGCATAGGACCAGGGGAGGGAAAGATGAGGTGCTATGTGCCTATTGCTAACGCCAGGCTGTTAATAAAACTCCTAATGAAGGAAAAATTGCATTTGTATTCAGTACAGAGGGGAAAAAAAGACTGCACAAGAGTTGACCATTAACTGGAAAGCAAGTTTTTTTGGTTAATTTGAAGTAGAAATCTAATGGTTCTACCGGAGGTAGTCAGAGGACTAACAGTCCATATTGCCTTGCTGTTTTTTTCCTGCTATATAGGAAAGCCATGAGTTAGAAGAGGCAGTGTATAAATTAGATTCATAAACCAAACACTGTGCTTTTGGGCTGACTTCAAATTTAATGGAAAACAAACAGACAATTTTAAAATATTCATCTACTCGTTTTCTGAGAGCTGTATAAAATATCCATTTCTGAGTCGGTTACACCCCTGCAAAAGGCTCCATCTGTATCCAAGATTGTTGGGCAGGAAACAGAAACCGCACTATATTATAAGAGAACATTCTGACCTTGAGCCTGGGTAATACCTATCACAGTTAGGACTGCAAATGTTAACTTTGGCTTTTTCCTGATCTTCATGCACATTCAAATAACTATAGCACTTGAATGAACGTACAAATTGATCAGAACCTAAAATGTGTGACATGTACATGCGACTGGACCGCGTGTCCGGGGCAGCCAGAAGGCAACACTGTCTCATTAATGGTGCAGAACAAGCACAATCCATAGGTAACTCTGCTAAGCATTTTTTTTTGTTCTTTTTCCCCCTCCAGTAGTTATCTACTATTACATACAAGCAAACTACACTGAGTAGTTTCTTCTACCTCAAACTGGTACATTTCAGTCTTACAGATGGAGTTTTCTTGATTTCTGTTGCCTAGATTGATTCACTTTGAAGTAGTGGAAGGAAGGAGGGCACGAACAGCTCTGAACTGGGGGGAGCACAAGTGAGCGGCTCTGTCTCTTTACCAGGTGACTCCTACTGAAACGCAGCCTCAAGTGCCTGCCCCGGGTAAGTGGCGGGGCGGCAGGCGGGCGCTAACCCCGGCCGCGTTCCTCCGGTGCCCTGCAGCGCTCCGGTCGCAGGTGGGCTGAAGTCTCCAGCGGGTGTGCACGACACACCACTGATGTTAACCAGTATTTCACCCCGTAGCAGATCTCTCGGGGACTTTCAGTTGCCCTTTTTCACTAATCTTTTCCAGGTTACACAGAACATGCTGTACACCAAGCGCTACCCGTGTGCCAAATCTCAGAGTTCAGCTGTCCACATCGTTGCAACTCTGGAAAATTACTGCAAATTATTTCAAGAAAAGCTTTTAACACTGAATAACTTTACCAGTCAAACTAAATCCAAACAGTTTAATATTCTTACTACCCCAGGTTTAGTTACAAGCACAGAAAGCAGATACGGGGAAGATGTTCCAAGCTGCCAGTCACGCCGTTGCAGCCGCCCTCTGAGTGGCACCTTGGGCCTCGGCCCTGCCTCCCCCCAGCACAAGTCACAGGTTCAATGTCCAGCTCTTAAACGGTGCCAGAGCTCGGCAGAAACTGCTCTCTGGTCAAGGGTTTTCACAATAAAAGCGTGTGCTTGTCCCAAGTAAATGAACAGCACCAGCACAGTAACTGGGCCTTGGAAGCATGTGTAAGATTTATACATATAAAAATATGCAGCAATAGGTTACTATGCTGCAGCTTTTCAAGGGAGATGGAGAACATGGTTCGAGCAGGGATATAGCCAAGAAAGAACAATAAATAAAGCAGGGAGGATTAGATGTGAATACTCCTCATGGAAAGGAGTCTGGAGTGGCTTGTTGCTTAAAGGGAGAGAAGGAAGTAATTTTTTCAGCCAGAAAAAGATTGAAAAGATAAAGTTTACTGGATTGCCAATCAAGTATGGGAGCATATTCAGCTCAGGCTGCATTTAATCCAGGTCTAGCCAAGATTTTTATGCTAATTCTGCTCCTGCATGTTAGGTCATAAACAGAAAGCAAATAAAATAGAAAATAAAGCTTTTGCCTAACTTAGAAGGCCAAAAGTTTTTAAAAATAAGATGTCACATTAGTTGCTTGAATTAAGTGGTGGTTTGGCCTATATCAACTCTTTTTGGCTTTTAGTACTAGCACCTGCTTTCTTTTTTGGGGTTTGCTGGCGTGGTGGATGTCGGCCTCCGAGCCTCCTGTCGGCCTCCGAGCCTCCTGTCGGCCTCCGAGCCTCCTGTTGGCCCCGAAGTAGCTGCTGCCTCAGGAGGGCCGGCCCCGCAGAAGCCCAGACCCCAGTGTCAGCCCTGCGCGCCCCTGGCTCCGGGGTAGCGTGTGAGGGGCCCTTTCCTCCCTTTCCCATTGCTCTGGGAGGGGAGGGCAGCAGGTGGATGCAGATCCATCCTCTGCCCTCAGGGCAGCAGCTCTCCAAAGCGGGAGCGAGGCGGCCTGCAGGGCTAATCCCACAGGACTGGCACCTGAAGGGCCCAATCCTGTTCATCACTTGTTGTTCCAGGACATCTCCGAGTGCCTCAGCAACCTGGAAAATTCATATAGCCACAGGTCCAAACG